GAAAGTTGCAAAATTTGATAGCTTACAGAATTAAACACTAAACAGGTCCAAAGTCCATTCAGTTTTGTGTGTTGTATTTTGCTATTTTTGTGATGTGTGGCCTTTTATTCTGTAATATCTCTTATTAATAAAACATTGAACATCCAGCAAACACAAAACCTGCCTCATTTGAAAAGAAATTTCAAAATTCCAATTAATAGTAGCCTCTAGAGAGTTTTGTACTTTAATATTTGTCAATATAGTGTCAACTCTTATCAAGGTAGCTTCTTGGTAAATCCAGTGTTATTTGTACTAAATAAAGCAATGCTTAATATGATATTTCCCATAATTGATTAATACAGTAATGATACATTTGGCATTATAGCTGTTGCAGACTGAATAGTATAATGATTATAAGATTGTTTGGAATATTTTGGAACAAATATCCATAATGCATTCTTTCTACTTTTTTTCTGTGATGGTAAAAGTAGGATTTATTATAATCCAGGATGATTCCTTAGAGACTGACCACAAACCCTCATTAAATATAATTGAGTCTGAGTGCCCAAGCTGTATAATCTACTATATATTTTAAACAAATTGTTGTTTTGTCTTAAATTCAATAAATTGCATTTTAAAATCTGTCATGAACTATTTGAGCTTCAAGAAAGATACTATTTAAGAAAGGATTTCTAATAAGTTATATATATATTTTTAAAGTCCATCTAAGTAAAAATACTTCTATTACCTGATTCTAGAGCTTTATCTAGTAAGAATTATAGACAAGAACTTTCCAAATCTTTGAGTTTCAAAAAGTAGCCATATGGGGAAAATTTGTCATTTCTATGAGCAGTATGTTTAGATTATCAAAAGAACAGTTCCATGGTAAGCATTATTTATGGACCTTTTTAAAAAGCTGTTTTTACAGAAAGATATGAAGGAGTTGAGATTTAGAAAGGACAATCAACTAGATTTTATTTTCAGAATATAAAGAACAGTTAGAAAATGAATAGGAGTATCAGTTAAACCCAAGACCCATACTTGCATTTGAATAGCACAGGCTCAAGTGGTCCTGTCCTTTTGTTACATTTTAGTAGTTGCATTTTTAGTTTTTACTTTGGGCATTGTCTGTTTTCCAAAAATTAAACTATTTTATTTTTTCCATCAAATTTATTTTAATTATCAGTTTACAATCCATTTCCAACTACCTTTGACTTAATATACCTTTTAAAGACATTTTCATTTGTTTTTATTGCTTGATTGGTGATAGCTGAGAAAAAATTTCCTGTATGTAGAATTTTCACAATCATTGTGTGAATTCTTTCTCTGGGTAAGCTATCTGCCACAGAAATTGAGACTACAAAGAGATTAATGTTAATGAAATTAACAATTGAGGAGCCATTGGGTTGATTTAAATTACTCTATAGTTTTTGAGTTCATAGAGCTATATAGTTACTAAATTGAAGCTTTTGGACACTGCAAAGAATTTATCTGATAAATCTCTTTGTATAAGTGTGATACTGATGCATGTTATGACTTTGCTTGAATGGCCTTTGATTCTTGTGCCCAGTGGAATGTGTGAAACTAAAAGTTGTTGTTGTTTTTTTTTTTTTTTTTTAATGTTATAGACAGGCACACATTGGGCTTCTGTTATTTTGCATAATGGTATTAACTGACAATTCTAATTTATTTTCTAGTTAGTATTTGGAGCAAGTTAGTAGATTTTTTAGTAGGTTGTACTTTGCTTCAGGTGGTAATAGTTTTCATCATACTGAACTTTTTATAGTAAATTTCTATAAGTTTGTTGGGTTTGCCTTCACCAGAAGGTACTTTAAATATATACTGTATAACTGACTGGTATAAAGAAACAAAATGGGTATTTTTTTTTTTTTTTAGTCTTTTTTTTTTTTTTTGGTTATTTTCACTGTAATTATTCCATTTAGAATTCATCATACATTTACAGTTATAAGTAACTTCTCCACAGTTTGTAGGTTGATACATTTTTATTGTGAAAAATGTGTTTTGTTCCAAATACTTATAACAGCCCCATGAAGTGCAGCATAGATTAGCACACCTGCCCATAGTAGGCTTCCTGGCTGCCTCTTAAGTGATACAAACTCTCTGGCCTGTTGTGTAACAAAGAGGTAAATATTAAAGGAAAAGAAAAACAACACTTTAAAAAAAAAAATCCATGAACAAGGTTGGAGAAGGGAGTTGTTGAGGGTTTTTTGGTTTTGTTTTTAGTTTTTCCAGTGGGGGAGGGTAGGATGGGGTTGATTTGTGTCCCTTGCCTCTGCCACTTTTCAGAAAAAATTCCATGTTACCAAAAGCACATGCTGTATATTTTCTTCCCTTTTTGTGTGTGTTTATAGTATTTTGAAAGATTAATAAATGAATTGGCTATTTCTATGTGAGGATGTTCAAAGTTGTGGCTGCTCTTTGTGGAAGGGAAAACAATGAAGTTAATGCACTTCTTTTCCTAGCTCAGAAGTCACTGTGATGTATATTTTTTTAATGAAATTCAGAAATACAACTGTTGTCTTCTCAATTGTAAAATTAGTTTCAAAATGCTGCTTCTCTTATCATTATTAGTCTAGTAACTGTTGGACTGTTTTCTGCAAATTGCATTTTACAAAATTTAAACTTCAAAACTGTATTAACTTTTATATAGTTAAACATTGTATTAAATAAACTATACTGTAATAAACAGTTTGTTGTTGATTTTTTTGTTATTGTGTTAGTAATTAACCTTTATAAAAAATTAAATAATGAAAATCAACTAAAATATACTTTAAGAAAACTTAAGTGAGATTTAATAGTACTAATCTTTAAGAATTTAGCTAGCAATGATAGTTTCTAGGTTTAGGATAAAGTTCTAGTTAGTATTAATGTTTAATCATAATATTGCTGTCTTCACATGGGATATACCCATGCAACAGAATACTATGTCAGTTAGAAAACTAATGAGGGTCTTTATGCATTCCTAAGCTGTGATCTTTAGTCTATTAAATGGGGGTGGTCTTTTGTGTAAGAGTAAAATGTGTGTGTATATGTGTGTATGTATATATATATTTTTAATATAGTTTTAGTTGCAGTTGGACACAATACTTTTTTTTATTTTTATTTGGTGCTGAGGATCAAATCCAGTGCCTTGCACTTGCTAGGTTAGCACTCTACCGCTATATATTGTATTGTATTATATATATCTATAATCCAACAAAACTAACCAATGGAAATGAACAAAGGTGGTCATTTGACATTTCTACCATGTAACATACAAATGGCCAGCAAGAATATGGAAAGAGGCTGGGTGTGGTGGTACACACCTATAATCTCAGCAACTCGGGAGGTTGAGGCAGGAGGATCTGAAGTTGGAGCCAATGGCAGCAACTTACTGAGACGTTGTCTCCAAAAAAAAGGGGGGCTGGGGATGGGACTCAGTTGTAGAGCTCATGTATAAGACTCTCGGTCAGTCTTCAGTTGCAGCAACAACAAAAATGCTCAACATAACTAATTATTAAAGAAATAAAAGTTAAAATCATAGAACACCTCAATTAGGATGGCTACTATAAAAAATAAGTGTTGCTAATAACATGCACCCTGGTGCAGTGTTGGGAATGTAAAATGGTGCAGCTGCTGTAGAAAACAGGAAAGTTTGGGCTGGGGTTGTGGCTTAGTGGTAGAGCACTTGCCTACCATGTGTGAGGCACTGGATTTGATCCTCAGCAACACATAAAAATAAATTTAAAAAGGTATTGTGCCCATTTACAACTAAAAATATTTAAAAAGAAAACAGAAAAGTTCCGGGCTGGGGATACAGCTCAGTTGGTAGAGTGCTTGCCTTGCATACACAAATAAGGCCCTGGGTTCAATCCACAGTACCACACACAAACAACAACAACAACAAAAAAAAAAGTTCAAGAATTTTTAAATGGAATCATGTGATTCAACAATTCCACTTCTGGGTATAAATCCAAAATAATGGGGAAAAAAATGGAAAGCATCTCAAAAAGAGTTATTTGCATGTGTTCATAACAGCATTACTCACAATAGCCAAGAGGTGAAGAAATCAAAGTGTCCACTTATGAAGAACTAAATAAACCATTTTTGGTGTATGTATACAAATATATTGTGTATATTTACATGCACACGCCATGGATATTCAGGTGTTGTTTTTTTTAACAGATTTTTTTTTTTTTTTTAAGTTTTCAATGGACACAACATCTTTATTTTATTTTTATGTGGTGCTGAGGATCAAACCCAGTGTTCTGCGCATGCCAGGCGAGCATGCTACTGCTTGAGCCACATCCCCAGCCCGGATATTCAGTTTTTTAAAAAGTAAGTTGGCCTGGGGTTGTGGCTCAGTGGCAGAGCACTTGCCTCACATGTGTGAGACACTGGGTTCGATTCTCAGCACCGCATATAAATAAATGAATAAGATGAAGGTCCATCAACATCAAAAAAAATTTTTTTTTAAATAAGCTGGCACAGTTGTATATAGTTTAAAATTAGGCTGGGGTTGTGGCTCAGTTTGTAGAGTGCTCACCTAGCATGTGTGAGGCACTGGGTTTGATCCTCAGCACCACATAAAAAAATAAGTATTATGTCCAACTACAACTAAAAAATAATTTTAAAATAACTATATGCTGATACATGTTACAACATGGAAATAGTCTTAAAAAAAAAAGACATCCACTGATTACGCTTACATGAGGTGTCCAGAGTGACAAATTTAATAAAAGAATGGTAGCTTCCAGAAGTTGAAGGAAGAGGGAAATGGGAAGTAGTTGCTTAGTGGATATAGAGTTTCAACTGCAAGATGACAAGGTTCTAGAGATTATATGATGTGACTATCTCGTATACTTAGAAATGGTTAAAATGGTAGCATATTATGTGGGTTTTTTTTTTTTTTTTTAATTTTTAAAGAGCAAGGGAATGCAACTCAAAAATCCTCTGACCCTGCATATCAAGTTGTGACAAAATGGTGTAGAATTACTTTAAGTGACTTCAAAATGTATTTTGTACTCACTTTGGCAGCACATATACTTTAAAAAATTGGAACAATACGGAGAAGGTTAGCATGGCCCTTGCACAAGGATGACATGCAAATTCATGAAGTGTTCCATATTTTTAAAAAATGTAGTATGTTGGGCTGGGGTTGTGGCTCAGCAATAGAGCGCTTGCCTAGCACGTGTGAGGCACTGGGTTCAATCAGCACCACATAAACAAAATAAAGGTACCCAACTATGACTATTTTTTAAAAAAATGTATTTTGCACATCTATCTACAAAATAAACCATAGACTACTACACTCAATAATCAATGTTACTAATAACAGTGTTATTTGATCCTGATACTTAAGGACAGAGCAAATAAGTATAAATTTCTATCGAAAAGAAATACATCCTGTGAAATGTTACACAGCCATAAAAAGGAATGAAGTATGGATATGTGTTGCAACATGGATGAACCCTGGAAATACATGAAATAAGCCACCCAAACCCAGAGCATGTTTTTTTTTTAACTTTTTTTTTAATATTTATTTTTTAGTTTTCAGCGGACACAACATTTTTGTATGTGGTGCTGAGGATCGAACCCGGGCCGCACGCATGCCAGGCGAGCGCGCTACCGCTTGAGCCACATTCCCAAAAAAGTATGTTTTAATTTAGATGAAATATGTAGAACAAATGCACAGAGACAAAGCAGAAGCTGTGGGAGGGGGAATAACTGCTTAATGGGTGCAGAGTTTCCATTTGGAGCAATGAATAGTCAGGTTGCACAATATTGCGAATATACTTAATGCTATTGAATACACATTTTAAATAAATTTTGTGTATTTAATAATTAAAAAAGGAATTGCAATCAGTTACCTTTAGGGTTATATATACTCAAAGGAAATATTGTGCCAGGTTCAGTCCCCAATACCAAAAAAGAAAAGAAATATTTTGTGAAGAATCAAATCAGGTATAATTGTATTGAGATGAATGACAGATTTATTAAATACTAAGAATATAGTCCATTTACATTTGTAGCTCATTTGCTACCACTTCAGTCTTCTCAATCTTAAAAATTATTTTTTCTACCATGTAAAACCTAATCTTCCCTTAGACTTCTGAAAATTATTATATTTTGATCCCTGAGAATTATAAAAAGGAAGCTGGACTCCAGTAATATCATTTGCCTGATAGCTTGGTCTTAATCCACCTCTCCCCATAAAAGCTGGTCCGTGGCCACCTCCAGGTCCTTCCTGTGCAGATTTTACAAGAGGATAAATAAATTTATTTGTTGATTCAGATTCATGTTTAATTACTTCTCTGGCATAATCCTGAAATTCTTTCTCCTTGGCAGCTGCAAGAGTTTCAGTAAGTCTGCAATATTCTAATTCGTTTTGTTTTGCTTCTTTTGCATTAAACTTCTTTTGGGCCTATGTGGGAAAGAAAGGAAATACAATTTAGTATTGGCTAAAAACATGAACTTTCTAAATATATGTAGCATTTGTAGTTATAATTTTATAATTTGACAATATGCTATTCTTACAGAAACTCCCACTCCCAGCTTTCTCAGAACAGTATGTTCAAAGTCTGCCTCCATAGAACCTAATCATAGGGGCTGGGGTTGTGGATCAGTGGTAGTACACTTGCCTAACACGTTTGAGGCACTGGGTTTGATCCTCAGCACTACATAAAAATAAATCAAGGTATTAAATAAAAACTTTAAAAAAAAACCTTAATCTTACTTGTCTCATATAATACATCTTCAAACAAACAATACAATAAAATAGTTTTTAAAAATCATGAAGTTTTAGGTCAAAAAATAACTGAAAAAGAAAGGGGAAGGAAGAGAAATGGAATATATCAAGAAATAACTTTTCTACTTGTAAAAATCCAGGCAGGCCCAGTTGATTTTGCTGGTTAGAGCATTTAAAGAACTGACACCAATCCTATAAAAACTCAGAAAATACCGGGGCTGGGGATGTGGCTCAAGCAGTAGCGCGCTCGCCTGGCATGCGTGCGGCCCGGGTTCGATCCTCAGGACCACATACAAAACAAAGATGTTGTGTCCGCCGAAAAATAAAAAATAAATATTAAATTTCTCTCTCTCTCTCTTAAAAAAAAAAAACAGAAAATACAAAGGAAGAAACATTTGCCAATTGAATTAGGTCAGTATTGCTCTATGAAAGCTAGACAGACAGCATAATAGAACTACAGAACATTGTCTTCATGAACAAAGGTGCAAAAATCCTTAACAAAATACTAGCAACTGAATCTAGTCATATATTTAAATATATACGTATTTTTTAAACCCACAATGACCAAGTAGGGTTACTCCAAAGAATACAAATGCTTTCAATATTTAAAATAAAATGAAATGAGCCAGCATGGTGGCGTACACCTGTACTCCCAGCTACTTTGAAGTCTGAGGCAAAAGGATCACTTGAGCCCAGAAGGTCCAGGCTAGACTGGGCAATATGGTGAGACTCCATCTCAAAAAAATGAAAGAAATATACCATAGAATAAAAGAACACATGGTCACTTCAATATATGAAGAATTGACAAAATTCAACATTTATGTGCTAAAAACTAAGCAAATTAGAAATAGAGGAAACCTAATCAAAGTGATAAAGGGTATTTATTAAAAATCTCTGGAGGGGCTGGGGCTGTGGCTCAGCGGTAGAGTGCTCACCTAGCACGTGCAAGGAGCTGGGTTCAGTCCTCAGCACCACATTAAATAAATAAGTAAATAAAATAAAGGTATTGTGTTCAACTAAAAAATTATAGGAAACATCATGTTTTAATGGAGAAAAACTGAATATCTTACTCCTAAGATTAGGGGCAAGACAAGGATATCACTTTTTGCACTTTTATTCAATATGGTGCTGGTTCTAGAAAGTGGAATAAATCAAGCAAAAGAACTAATATACACTTATTTGGAGGCGAAAAATTAAAGCCATCTATTCACAGACAACATGATCACATATGTAAAAGTTGTAAAGAATTACCAAAGAGCTAATAGGACTCATAACTTTGGCAGGGCTTCCGGTACAAGTTAATATATTAAAAATCTACTGTGTTTATACATATTGTAAATAAATAGAACAAATATGGAAATAAACAATTTCACAAGGACATTTTTAAAAACAAAAATAAATTTAGCAATATATATAAATGACCTATTAACCCCAAACTACAAATACTGAAAAGGAATATTAAAAGAGAAATAAATGCATAATATTCATTAATTTGAAGACTTGATGATATTATCATCCCCAAATATTTTCCATAATTCTCCCCAAATTACTCTGTATTTATTGAAATCTCCAAAACTCCTGCAGACCTTTTATTGTAAAACTCAACGAGCTGATTATAAAATATATAATTCCAAGAATTCAAGATAGCCAAAACAATTTTAAAACAACAAAGTCAAAGAACTTACACTGCTGATTTCAAAGACTTTGTATAAAGTTATAGCAGTCAAGTAGTATGATATGAGGGCGGGGGCTAGGGCTCAATGGTGAACTTGCCTAGCATGTGTGACGCAGTAGGTTCCATCCTTAACACCACATAAAAATAAACAAAATAAAGGCATTCTGTTCATCTACAACTAAAAAAAGTTAAAAAAATTTTAAAAAGTATGGTATTATTACAAGAAAAAAACAAAGGGCTGGAACATTGCTCAGGTAAAGAGTATACTTAGCATGAATGAAGCCCTCGGTTTAATGGCACAATTCCCAGTCACACACACACACACACACACACACACACATACACACAGACATATATATGCATACACATATACATACAAATACACACATATAGACAGATATCTAAATACAGATTAATATGAAGGAATTGAGAGTCCGGAAATAGATCCACTCTTAGGTGATAAATTGATTTTCAACAAAAGTTCCAGAGTATTAATTAGAGAAACCATAGTTCATTATCAAACTGTTCTGAAATAACTAGATATCTGTATGGAAAAAAAATAGTTTTGATCTTTTACATCATATATCAAAATTAATTGAAAACATATCATATACCTAAGCTATAAAAGCAAAAGTATTTCTAGAAGAAAACAGGACAAAATCTTTATGATCTAGTTTTTTTTTTTTAAATTTTTTATTGTTGGTTGTTCAAAACAATATGATCTAGTTTTAGTCTCTGCAATGACACAAAAAGCATAAATCACAAAGTAAAAACCAAAAAACTGGCCTTTATCAAAATCAAAACATTTGTTCATCAGAAGATACTATTAAGAAAATGAAAAAGCAGGCTGGAGTTGTGTTTCAGAGGTAGAGAGTTCCCCTAGCTAGTTCCCTAGCATGTATGAGGCACTGGGTTCAATCCTTAGCACCGCATAAAAATAAAAAATAAAGGTAAAAAAAGAAAATGAAAAAGCAAATCACAGATTAGGAGAAAACACTTGCAAACACAAAACTGACAAAAAAACCTCTATACTTAAAGAACTTTTGAAATTCAACAGTAGTCTAGAAACAAACCCTCACATATGTGAACTAATGATTTTCAATGAGCATGCCAAGACTCATTGGAGGAGAGTCATTGGAGGACAGTCTTCAACAATAGTGTTGGGAAATCTGAATATTCTGCAAAAGAATGAAGCTAAACATATAAAAAGCCACATACAAAAATTATCTCAAAAGAGATCAAAGACCTAAACTTAAGAGTAAAAACTATGAAACTCGTAGAACAAAACAGGAAAAGCTTCAAGACATTGACTCAGGAACTTCGTCTTGGGTATGACATCAAAAGCATAGAATGAAACAACAAAAGAAAAAAACACAAAATGGCCGTAAAGAAAATGAAAAATCTTTGTCTGGGCTGGGGTTGTGGCTCAGCAGTAGAGTGTTCACCTAGCATGTGCAAGGCCCCGGGTTCGATCCTTAGCACCACATAAAAATAAATAAATAAAGTATTGTGTCCAACTACAACTAAAAAATAAATTAAAAAAAAAAAAAGAAGAAGATACTATTGACAGAGTGAGAAGATAATCCATGGAATGGGAGAAAATATTTACTTGTCCTACCTCTGACAGGAGATTAATATTCAGAATATAAAAGAACTCCTAAAACCCAACAACAAAAAGCAAACAACCCAATTTTAAAAAATTGATAAGGACGGGAGCAAACATTTCTCCCCAAGAAAATACACAAAAGACCAATTAGTACCTATATCACTATTTAAAACCAAAATGAGGTCCTTTTTTAAACCTACTTTGATGGCTATTACAAAAAAAGAAATAAAAAGACGTACTATTTGAAGAAATTGAACACATGTGCATTGCTAATCGAATGTAAAATAGTGCAGCCACTATGAAAATCAACTTGACAGTTCCTCAAATATAAAACACAGAATTAGCAAATGATCCAGTGACTTCACTCTGCCTATTCAAGCAAAAGGAAAGCAGGGACAGTGGCTGGCGGTGAGGGAAAAGGCTTGGGCAGAAGGATCCCAAACTCAAGGCCAGCCTGAGCAATTTAGCAAGACCCTGTCTGAAATTTAAAAAAAAAAAAAACAGCTAGGGATATAGCTCTACTGTAGAGTGCTTGTCCAGCATACACAAGGCCCTGGGTTTTATCACCAACACTGCAAAAATTAAAAAAGAACTTGAAAGAAGGAACTCAAATAGATATTTTATTCATATACCTGTTAGAGTCTGTAAACAAGTCAGGATGGTGCCTGGAAAATGTGAGTCTGTAAACAAGTCTGGATGGCGCCTGGCATTTTGCCAGAGGGAGTGGTTTGTGAAGTAACACCAGCGAGCCATTAAGTGTGGAGATTCCTTATTGGTTGACTGCTGTATCTAGTTTGTGCTAATTAAGATAAGCTGTGTGGAATGTATAAATATCGCTCCGGTCCTACAATAAACGGCTCCCACTCCTGCTGTATCAATCTATACAAGTTGCTTGTCCCCCCCCCCCGTTATCTTGCTGCAGCCGGACTGCGGCATATACCAGTGTTCACAGAAGCATTATTCATAATAGCCAAAATAACCCAAAGGTCCATCCATAAACAAAATGTAGTATAAACATATAATGGAATATTACTCAGCTTTGAAAAGTAATGAAACTGATATACATGCCACATGTATGACCCCACATGGATGAAGCTTGAAGACATTATGCTAAGTGAAATAAGCCAGACAAAAAAGGATGAATATTGTATGATTCCACTTATATAAGGAACCTAGATCAGTTTCATAAAGCCAGAGATAATTAAGGCTAGAGGGAAGAAGGAATGGGTGGTTACTATTTAATAGGTACAAAGTTTTAATATAGGATAATTTAAAAGTTCTAGAGATGTGCTCACTTCAGCAGCGCATATACTAAATTGGAATGATACAGAGAAGATTAACATGTCCCCTGCACAAGGATGACTAGGAAATTCATGAAGCATTCCATATTTTTAAAAGAGGTATTCCTAACCTGCAGGGATACTACAAGATTATAGGGTAGAAACGACAATACCTCAGGTCCGCACTGCAAGAGAGGAAGTCACATAGACCACATGAAAAAACAAGGGAGAAAATGCCCCAAACAAACCAAGATACTATAACAATAGAATCCATGATAGCAGTGTAGATGGAATGACAGAGGGGTTCAGAATGTACATAATTAAAATGATCTGAGAATTAAAGAGTGACCTAACTGAGCAAATACAGGCAAAAATTGATCACTCCAACAAAGAGATAAGAGATCAAGCACAGGTAGCTAAAGATTGCTTCAAGAAAAAGAGATTATGAAAAAAACAAAACAAAACAGAAATTCTTGAAATGAAGGAAATAATAAGCCAAATAAAAAACTCAATAGAAAGCATTACCGACAGACTAGGTCTCTTGGAAGACAGAACCCTAGACAATGAAGACAAAGTATATGATCTGGAAAATAAAGTTGACCATGCAATGAAGATGGTAAGAAACCATGAACAGAACATCCAAAGATAACATCAGGGCTGGGGCTGCAGCTCAGTAACAGAGCTCGCCCAGCATGTGTGAGGCACTGAGTTCAATCCTCAGCACCACATATAAATAAAATAAAGGCATGCTTTCCATACACAAGTACAAAAAATTTTTAAAAGAAAAAAGATAACATTAAAAGACCAAGTCTAAGATTTATCGGGATAGAGGAAGGTACAGAATTTCAAACTAAAGGAATGCACAATCTCTTCAATGAGATAATAACAGAAAATTTCGCAAACAGGAAGAATGAATTGGAAAGTCAAATACTAAAAGCTTACAGGACACCAAATGTACAAAACTACAACAGATCTACACCAAAGCACATTATAATGAAAATGACAACATACAGAATAAGGACAGAATTGTAAAAGCTGTAAGAGAGAAGAATCAGATTACATATATGGGGAGACTATTGAGATCTCAGCAGATTTTTCAGCCCAGACTCTCAGGGCCTGGGGATCCTGGAATAATATATACCGAGCTTTGAAAGAAAATGGATGCCAACAAGAATCATATCCAGCAAAATTAAACTTCAGATTTGATGACAAAAACCTTCCATGATAAACAAAAGTTTAAAAAATTTACAGCAAGAAAGCCTGCATAACAGAACATTCTTGGCAAACTATTTCATGAGGAGGAAATGAAAAACAACAATGAAGATCTACAAATGGAGGAACTACACTAAAGGAAAGGCCAATCAACGAGAAACCAAGTCAAGTTAAGAACCAAAAATAACCAAAATGGCTGGGAATACAAACATATTTCAATAATAGCCCTGAATGTGGATGGCCTAAACTTATCAATTAAAGACAGACAGGATTTTTTTAAAAGACTCAACAATATGCTGCCTTCAAGAGACTCATCACACAGGAAAACATCTACAGACTGAAAATGAAAGGATGGGAAAAAAACTTATCACTCACATGGACCGTGTAAACAAGCAGGGGTTTCCATCCTCGTATAGATAAAGTGGACTTCAAACCAAAGTTAGTGAAAAGGGATAAAGAAGGACATTTCATACTACTCAAGGGAATCATACATCAACAAGACATAACAATTGTAAATATCTATGCCCCAAACAATGGGGCATCTATGTATACCAAACAAACCCTTCTCAACTTAAAGAATCAAATGGACCGCAGCACAATAATACTGGCTGACTTTAACACACCTCTCTCACCACTGGATAGATCTTCCAAAAACTAAATGAAGAAACTATAGAACTCAATAAAACAATCAATAATTAAACTTAACAGACATATACAGAATATTCCATCCATCAACCAGTGAATACACTTTTTTCTCAGCAGCACATGGGTCCTTCTCCAAAACAGACTATATGTTATGCCACAAAGCAAGTCTTAGCAAATACAAAAAAAAAAAAAAAAAAATAGAGATACTGAGCTGGGGATACAGCTCAGTTGGTAGAGTGTTTGCCTCGCATGCCCGAGGCCCTGGGTTCAATTCCCAGCATTACCAGAAAAAAAAAAAAGGATACTACCCTGCATTCTATCTGATCATAACAGAATGAAATTAGATGTCAGGGATAAAATAAAAAAATAGAAGCTACTCCAATACCTGGAGACTAAATAATATGTTACTAAATGATGCATGGATAACAGAAGACATTAGGGAGAAGATTAAAAAAATTCTTAGAGATACATGAGGACTCCAATACAACACATCAAAATCTCTGCAATACTATGAAGGCAGTGCCAAGAGGAAAAGTTCATTGCATTTAAGCTCATTCATTAAAAGAAGAAAGTCAACAAATAAACAACTTGACATTATATCTCAAAGCCCTAGGAAAAGAAGAACAAACCAACACCAAAAGCAGAAGACAGGAAATAATTAAAATCAGGGCTGAAGGGTATGGAGTAATGGTTCAGTGGTAGAGCACTTGCCTAGCATGTGTGCTTATTTATAAACACCACTTATAAATAAATAAAATAAAGGTTCATTAACAACTAAAAAATATTTTTAAAAAAATCAGGGCTGAAATTAGTGACATTGAAACAAAAGAAACAATTTTAAAAATTGACAAAACAAGCAGCTAGTTCTTTGAAAAAATAAATAAAATTGACAAACCCTTAGCCATCTTAATAAAAAGAAGGAGAAAGAAAACTCAAATTACTAAAATTCATGATGAAAAAGGAAATCATGACAAACACTATTGAAATACAGAAGACAATTAGAAACTATTTTGAAAATTTATACTCCAGTAAAATAGAAAACTTCAAAGACACTGACAAATTTCTAGAGACATATGATCTACCCAAACTGCACGAGGAGGACATACACAATTTAAACAGATCAATTTCAAGCAAGGAAGTAGAAAACATCATCAAAAGCCTACTAACCAAGAAAAGCCTGGGACCAGTCAGATTCATAGTTGAGTTCTACAAAACCTACAATGAAGAATTAATACCAATACTCCTCAAATTATTCCATGAAATAGAAAAGGAAGGAACTCTTCCAAACTCATTCTATGTGGCTACTATCATCCCAATACCAAAAACCAGACAGGGACACATCAGTAAAGAAAATTTAAGACCAATATCCCTGATAAACATAGATGCAATAATTCTCAATAAAATTATGGCAAATTGCATATAAAAACATATTAAAAAATTGTGTACCATGATCAAGTGGGGATCCTTCCAGGGATGCAAGGTTGGTTCAACATATGGAAATCAATAAACATAATTAATTCATCATATCAATAGGCTTAAAGATAAGAATCATGGGCTAGGGATGTAGGTCAGTGGTAGAGCACTTGCCTAGCATGTGTGAGGCAGTGGGTTCGATTCTCAGCACTGCATATAAATAAATAAAGTCCATTGACAACTAAGAAAATATTTTTTAAAAAAGAATCATATGATTATATCAATGGATGCAAAGAAAGCATTTGACAAAATACAGCACCCTTTCATGTTCAAAACACTAGAAAAACTAGATAAAGTAGGAATACACCTCAACATTGTAAAAGCTATCTATGCTAAACCCTAGGCCAACACCATTCTAAATCGAGAAAAAATAGATGCATTCCCACTAAAAACCAGAACAAGACAGGGATACCCTCTTTCACCACTTCTATTCAACATAGTCCTTGAAACTATAGTCAGAGCAATTAGACAGATAAATTAAATGGATACAAATAGGAAAAGAAGAATTCAAACTATCATTATTTGCTGATGATATGATTCTATACTTAGAGGATCCAAAAAAACTCCATCAGAAAACTTCTAGAATTAATTAATGGATTCAGCAAAGTATCAGGACATAAAATCAATACCCACAAATCAAATGCATTTCTATACATCAGTGATGAATCCTCTGAAAAATAAATTAGGAAAACTACCCCATTCACAATAGCCTAAAAAAAAAAAAAACTAAAATACTTGGTAATCAATTTAGCAAAAGAGGTGAAAGATCTCTACAATGAAAATTATAGAACACCAAAGAAAGAAATTCAAGAAGACCTTAGAAGATGGAAAGATCTCCCATGCTCCTGGATAGGCAAAATTAATATCGTCAAAACGGCCATACTATCCAAAGCACTATACAGATTCAATACAATTCCAATTAATATCCCCATGTCATTCTTTTTTTAATTAGTTACACATGACAGTACAATGATCTTGACAATTCATACATTTGAATCAAATGGGGTATAATTTCTCATTTTTCTAGATATAGAAAAAGCAATCATGAAATTCACTTGGAAAAATAAGAGACCCAGAATAGCCAAAGCAATACTTAGCAAGAAGAGTGAAGCAGGAGGCATTACAGTATCAGACCTTAAACTGTACTACAAAGCTATAGTAACAAAAATGGCATGGTATTGGCACCAAAATAGACATGTAACCAATGGTACAGAATAGAAGATGCAGAGACAAGCCCATATAAACAAAGTTATCTCATACTAGACAAAGGTGCCAAAAATATGCATTGGAGAAAAGATAGCCTCTTCAATAAATGGTGCTAGGAAAACTGGAAATCCATATGCAGCAAAATGAAACTAAACCCCTATTTCTCACCATACAGAAAAATCAACTCAAAGTGGATTATGAACCTAGGAATTAGACCAGAGACCTAATAGGAGAAAAAGTAGGCCCAAATCTTCAAGACTCCTAAAGTGCAAAAATTAAAATCAAGAATCAATAAATGGAATGGATTCATACTAAAAAGCTTCTTTTCAACAAAAGAAACAATCAATGAGCTGAACAGAGAGCCTACATTTGGGGAGCAAATTTTTGCCACAAACACATCAGATAGCACATTAATCTCCAGGATATATAAAGACTCAAAAAACTTAACACCAAAAAATCAAACAACCCAATCAATAAATGGGCTAAGGAGCTGAACAGACACTTCTCAGAAGATGAAATACATATGATCAACAAATATATGAAAAAATGTTCAACATCTCTTATAATTAGAGAAATG